AATTACAATCTAGATGAAGAACTCTAGATTCAATCCTAACAATCTAACAATTCATGAATTCCTTTGAAAACCCTAAACCTAACAAGAAATCTACTCAGACATAGTGAATGAACCAAACATCATGAATAAAATAGATATCATAAAAGAAAGTAATAGAAGAAGTAAAGGAGTTCTGAATCTTCTTTGAAGGAGGTTTTGATTCTTCTCTCCCAGCTCTCTACAAATCTCTCTCTCTCTCTCCCAAAATAAAGCTAAAGTCTTAACAAAACCCTAAAAACTCAATATATATGTCTTATCCACGAATTGGGCTTAATTGCAAATAAGGGAAACTTCTGGACCGAATCTGCAAATCTTCTGAACTTTAATTAAGTTTGAAATTCAATTGCCGTCAGATGTTGGTGTCGATCGACACCAGAAATTGTGACGCTCGACACGCACACAAAATATGCTCTCCCCGTATGTTCCTTCGGCACATCTTCTCCACTCCCAAATGCTCCAAAAAGTTCCAATCCGTGCCAAATAGCTCCTAATCCTGAAATGACTCAAAAAGACTCGAAAACACTATAAATGCCCTATAAATAAAACTTATATCATGGCCAAAAACCCGTAAAAACCATTATATATCACCATGAATGCTCCTACTTAGGTTTTCACCGACCAATCGACCTTGTTCTGCAGACGTTTGAATTCCCTCTGGTACTCAATAAGTGTGCCCTTTTTTCTAATGTGACAAAGAGCTTCTTCAAAATCTTCTCCATCAGTGGGTCTGAATCTGGAATAGAGCTCAGCTTCAAACGTTTCCCATGGCAAATCAGAAGACCCGGACTTCAATTCAACCAAACAATTGAATCACATTGTAAACCGCTTATGTAAACCGTTTTTTTTTTCACGTTGCTACTTGACTTTAGAACTTTTGATTACTTGATCATACACAATTTTGATCAAAACAATTATCATTAGGTCTTGTCCAAAAAGATTCTACAGGTGAAGGAGAAAATTTAATTTTCTTCATTCTTTTGAAGAAATAACATTACATTTGTTCAACGATTGAGTAATCTTGATCACAATATATCATTATATCATATTTAATTTACTGATCATGAGGCTTCAGAATCTTCAGGTTTTTGTAAAGAAGTAGAGTTTTTGTAAGAAAGCTAGAAGCCTAGAACAGCCAATGCGAGGCCGGAGACCCTAAGAACCGACCGGACCACTCATGCATGACTCAACGAAAACATTAGTCCTATTTGGGCCAACGTTGCCCATAGAAAATAGTCCACATTTGCTAACCAAAATCACAACCTGTGGAACGCACTCAATTAATTAAAGAATTAAACTCTATATATACACGGCAAACGGAAGGATCACTACAAAATGGGTAGACACATACTTGGAAGCTCGGAGGCAAACTACCCATGATTATATTGCAATATAATTCAGTAGGGGGAGCACCAACGAAGAAAGCTAAAATCATCAAACTTGGTGACTTGAGAGAAAGAAATGAAAGAGCATCAAATGCTCACATCAATCCATGTTTTGAATATATAATGTCTGGGAATGATTAAACATTCTAAATCCGAATTAAACCAAAAGGTAAACAGCAACATAGTAATCAATCAAAAAATATATTAATATTGCAAAAATCAATTTGATTATTTTTATTCCATTCCACCCAATTTCTTCAAACGATATATGTAGTGGAATCTTTAACAAAATCTATATATAAACAAAACCAGATTGCATGTAAACATTATTTCCGTTTACCGGATTTATAATATACGGACTTAAACATTAGACTAAAGTGGATATGAAAACATTGCATCAAAATGTATAGTTTGTTAAAACCAAATCTACAAATTATTAAACCAAAACTACAAATTATTAAACCAAATCTTGAGTTATTTAGATTTTACTATTAATTTATATTAATCTTGATAGTAAAGGGAGAAAAATGTTAAACTCCGTAGCATTTTACTTTATAATAATTATGTAAATGTTCATCAACTAGAAAATAAAATCTTTCCTCAATAAAATTTTATAACCAATTTTTGTATTTGACCTAAAAATCCAAGAGATACTTTTTTTCTTTATTGACTAGTTGAAGTGTATGCTTTCACTTCTCTGAGATGAAAACACGTGGTGAATGCTTATTGGTTTTTTTTTTTTGGAACACAAATGCTTATTGGTTAATTTCATTTTCTTACGTTGTCGTTTATTAAAGGTCCATAAAATGATGAAAAGAACGGAACTAGCTCGTAAACCTATCAAAATAACCAAACTAGCCCATAGAAAATTGTTATAACTACAATAGCCCAAAAAATAAGGTTAATTACTAAAGCCCATCTTTTTTTTTTCAATTATGTTCGTGCCATTTCTTCTTTGTTTTACTTATTAAAAAAACAATAGAGTAAACGATAAAAACAAAAAGCAAAAAACGAAAACATATCTAAAAGCAAACCCTAATTAGAAACCGAACAGTCCTTTCTCTCTTGAGACTCGTGAGACGATTCCGGCGACTCGTGAGACGATTCCGGCGAGTGTTGAAGCAGTTGAACAGTGAAGGGCGGCGTTGTCTCTACTTTCCGGTAAGATGTGGGTTTAATAGGTGAGTGTAGGAGTCGTATCGTGTGAGTAGAGAAACTAAAAAGACGACTGTGATAGATCGAGTGGACGGAGACGGTGGAGGCGAGGTGACGAGGAGTGGTGGGTGGAAAAGCGAGATTTTGGTTATATTGGCGGAGGTTAGAAAGGAAGGAGGCGAGATATAAGGAAGATCAATCATCCTTCTTTGTTACTTTGTCGAGTACAGTGGTGAAGACGATTCGTGGGGGTAAGATTTCAGTGACGAGTGTGTGTAATTTAAGTTTTGAATGAGAAATGGATAATGAAAATTGTATAGTTTTTATAGGTATCGAAACGCCGGGGACATTATCGGAGGTTTAGGGAATATAAACCGGCGTTGTTGAAGAAAAAAAAAGTTAGTGTTTTATGGAAACATTTGGTATAGTTTTGTAACGATGACTTATAGATCTGGTAGATTGCTTTGAGTTTTAAGAGTAATTTTGTAATCTGGTAAGTATCTGGTAACGATGACTTATAGAGTGTGGAAAATCTAGAAAAATAGGATAGAAACTTGTATTTGAATTTGGCAGGTTGTTTGGGGAAAAAAAAGAATTTTGTTTGGTATTGCATTGAAAATGACATTTCATATAGTTTGGTGGCAGAGTATATATTTAGAGTTAATGTCATTAAAGTATGATATTGTGATAAAGTAGTGTAATTAAAGTAGTTATAGTTGTTATTTTATTCTCATTAGAAAAGACAAAAAAAACTGCTAGTGGGGTCTGATGTACATTCATATAAATAAAGCATGCATGGTATGTAGTAAAATGGAATGAGAGTATAAAATTGGAATGTAGTAGGTTGTATGTTACAAGGAATGAGTTAATGTGATTTTTTTCAATTTCAGACGGTTTCTGTTTTTACAATTGTTTCACAGACTTTGAAAAAAGAGATAGTGGATTATAATGTGAATTTGATTGTGTTAGTTGTAATTTTCAAACCCGTTTGTGTTTTTACAATTGTTGGTTTGGTTTTGAATTCACAATGACATTAACAATAGTATTCACTGACTTTGAAAATAGAGAAGTTATGGCAGGAGATATTGATAGAGTATAAAGCTATGCATATTAGTTTAAGTGTTAGCTTGATATTGAATGTGAATTAATTGATAAAGAGTTGGTTATAATGAAAGAAGTTTAAGAACGATTGTATGTAGAAATGATAGGCCGTTGGATTATAATGTGAATTTGATTGTGTTAGTTGTAATTTTCACACCCGTTTGTGTTTTTACAATTGTTGGTTTGGTTTTGAATTCAAAATGACATTAACAATAGTATTCACAGACTTTGAAAATAGATATGTTGTGGCAGGAAATATCGATAGAATATAAAGTTATGCATATTAGTTTAACTGTTAGCTTGATTTTGAGTGTGAATTAATTGATAAAGGGTTGGTTATAATGAAAGAAGTTTAAGAACGATTGTATGTAGAAATGATAGGCCGTTGGATTATGATGTGAAATTGATTGTGTTAATTGTAATTTTCACACCCGTTTGTGTTATTACAATTGTTAGTTTGGTTTTGAATTCACAATGACATTAAAAAATAGTATTCACAAACTTTGAAAATAGAGATGTTGTGGCAGGAAATATTGATAGAGTATAAATTTATGCATATTAGTTTAAGTGTTAGCTTGTTTTGTGAATTAATTGATAAAGGGTTGGTTATAATGAATTAATCTGGTCTGCGACAGCCAAATGAGTATATAAGGTTCGATATACAAATGTTTGGCATGAGATACTCAACTTTATCTCACAACCTCAGCTGGATCGTATTGAGGGATTCCTTGCAAGGTATGTTTTCCAAGCTACTGTCCACACCATTTGGCGAAAGCGAAATGGGCGCAGACATGGAGAAACACCAAAAACTGCAGGCCATTTAATTAGATGGATTGATCAACAAGTTCGATATCAGCTCACAAGCATTCAACGGATGGGAGATAGACGTTACGACCAAAGTTTACAAATCTGGTTTCACTCTAGGATTTGAGGCTTTTCAAAAAGTTTTTTCAAAAACTTTCTAGCTATCTATTTCTCAAAATTATGTTGCACTAGTTGTACAAACGATATTTTTTCTTTGATTATAATTTAACATTAAATTAAAAAAAAAATATCATGAAAAAAGTTTAAGAACGATTGTATGTAGAAATGATAGGCCGTTGGATTATAATGTGAATTTAATTGTGTTAGTTGTAATTTTCACACCGTTTGTGTTTTTACAAATGTTGGTTTGGTTTTGAATTCAAAATGACATTAACAATAGTATTCACAGACTTTGAAAATAGAGATGTTGTGGCAGAAAATATTGATAGATTATAAAGTTATGCATATTTGTTTAAATGTTAGCTTGATTTTGATTGTGATTGTTGTAATTTGCAGGAAATGGCATCATCAAGTGGTGAAAAGAAGGGAAAGTACCCTCCTTTACTGTATCCGCCTGGAAAATCTCCTCTCTTGAAGAGGAGCATCCACCATAATTGCACTTTGGCGAGTTTTGGATTCATGAAAGATTGCATTGGTGAAGATGTTTACAAAGACATCCGGGATCATACACAAGTAGGAGTTTTATTGAGTCTTGCTGATTCTGACTATGTGTGGTGGGCTAAGCTTGTGCATTACATCCTCACACGCCAGTTGGCTATAGAGAGGAGGTATGAGATTTGGTCATTGATTGAAGGCTGTCCGATTATGTTCTCTCTATATGAGTATGAAGACATTTCTCGTCTGAACTGTCAGCCCATAGTTGAGGATGATATTGTGGAAGTAGATCACAGAGAATTTTGGGCAGAGTTAAAAGTGGATAGTGGTTTAGGGCCTAACTGGTATGACTTGGATGAAGCCTTGAAGAATTGCAGAACATGGACTCCTGACAAGAGAAAGATGTTGGGACTGTTTTTGGTTGTTCATGTTGGCATATTGGGACTCCCGAGGGGCAGTACGATTCCACTGGAGTATGCAAAAAGAGTTTTATATATTGCAGCATTTGACAGATTTCCATGTGGCGGGGTGGGATTTATGGAGCTACTCCAGTCCATTAAAGTGCTGTCCTTTAAGAAAGAGAGTTGTGCAATCCATGGATGTGTTCATGTTCTCATGATATGGGCATTTGACTGTTTGAAACATCTAGGGAAAACCTATGGGAATAAAAAGAAGTTTGATGAAGACTTTGCTGCGGCTGATGATGTGCCTCCACTACTTATGTGGAGTGGAAAACGTCCAAGAATTGACATTGCAGAATTCTTTGCCACAGAGAAACTTGTGAAGAAAAAGGTGATAGTTTCTCTTTTATCCAACTTCATTTCTTAGAATTTCGACCTGTTTTAGGGTTTTGAGAGACTTGTTTCCAATGTAGATTGTAGCTGAACATGTCTCCTGGCGAGAAGAAGACGATATATTCCCTTTCTGGCCTGATGAGGTAGCTGTCTACGGGGAATCATGTGGCTCTAACAAACTCCTCGACAATCTGCTGCATGACATATTCCTAGAACGTGTTGATGAGAGACAATGGGATGTTCCATGTACTGAGGTTGGAGGACAGAAGAAGATGGAGAAGAATAAGCAGATCATTGACTCTGATGATGTTGGAGGACATAAGAAGATGGAGAAGAGGAAGCAGATCATAGATTCTGATGATGTTGGAGTACAGAAGAAGATGGAGAAGAGGAAGCAGCTCATGGATTTTGAAGATGAAGTTGATCCTCCTCCACAGAAGAAACAGAGTTTTAGACGGTCTAAAGGGCCAGTTAAGTTGGTAAAACCTAGTGACGAAAGTGGAGAGGAGAGCTCGGGGTCTGAGAGGGCAGAGAAAGGATCACTGGAAGGATTAATGAAGTTGCTGGGAAGTTTGACAGGGAAGGTTGATTCAATGCATGCTAACTTGGGAGGTCAGATGGAAAAGATTGGGAACCAAGTTAATGTGATTGAGAAGAAAGTGACAGTCCTTGAGACTAATGTGTGCGAGTTGAAGAAAGATAAAGGAGAAGTAGGTGATAAGAAAGGGAAGGGTGTGAAGATTGGTACTGAAGTGAAGATAGGGGGTGGTGCGAATGATGAGGAGTCCAAAACTGGAGATGATGGTGGTTCTGGAGCCAACGCTGAGGTATGACCCCTAAACATATCTCTTTATTTGCATTGACAGACTTTCATATAAGGTATGGTAAAAGGATATTGGTTTTTTTCATGCAGAAAAATCCTTAGTTGGTTGGTTGCTGGGGAAATCTTTTCAAGCTAACTTTATCTCCCTGTATTTTCTTCTTGTTCATTTTGTTAAAAACATTACAATGGTTTGAATTTGTAAAATATGAAGTTTGTTTTTTTTTTAGACTTAACTCTATTATGTATTAACTTTTTCCATATGTAAGGCCTACATTTGCTAAGTTTGCTATTATGATGTCCAAATGTTTATTAACCTTTTAGTCTTGGAGATTAGAGACGAAGCAAACATCGCAGGACGAGTTCCCTATTTCTTGTGTTGTAAGGAATCCAACAACTCGATTAAGATTGTCTGTCAAGAAAGTCAGAGAAGTTCAATCAGGAGGGAAGGAAATGAATCAAGCAGTTGGAGTTGGAGCTAAAGAACTTAAGGAACCAAGATCTGCTCCTGAGAAGAAGAGGAGTGAAACTGCTAAACAACTTAAGGAACCATGATTGGCAGAGAGAGTGTCAAGAAGAGGCTGGATTATGGTGAGGAAGGGCAAGTGGAAACGGGTGATCCATTACCTATTGATTCGACTACTGCTTATCTCTGCCTATATTTATTTTCCTTCGCAGGAACTCCCTTTCATTTGATATGTATAGGGAGTGCTTGTTTGATGAAAGTTGCTCTGGGCTAATTTCTACTTAAGGATCCTGACTCAAAAATCTTGCTCTGGGCAAACCTTACACGAAAATGATCCCAACATTGATAAAGATAGTAGCGCCAGCTGATGAGAAAAAGATTTATCTGGCAAAGCTTTCACCATTTCCATAGTTAAGAAAACGCCACAAAACTATCAACAAGGAGATTGTGGGGTGTATGCGGTGAAGTATATTGAATGTTTGGCTATAGGTCTAACTTTTGATGGGTTATCTGACGAATCTCTACCAGCTATTCGGTTGAAACTTCCAGCAGAGGTATTTGATGAGGTGGCTGATATAGATTGCTTCATTGAAATTTCTGATCCAAATCCACGAGGTTCAGAGACAGGTGAGGTAGAGTTTCTATCCCAGCCATGATGTACTCTACCACGTTTTAACTAATGTAATTTTTTGTGCACGTTCAACGTTGCATGTTCTTACTAATTAAATTTTGGACATGCAACGTTGTTATGAACACTTTCAGATATGTATTAACTAAATAAGATTAGGTGTGTAATCCTTTTTGTATATGGATGATTGGTGTAATATATGAAATCATATATGTTAATTTTATCCCTTAATTAGACATACACTGTGCTACAAGATATATGGTCCATCATATGCAATAGATAAATTGACAGATAACGAAAACATATATTACAATTACACTCTTAATTTGGTACATGAAGTCACATCCACATAGTTAGAGGTGATACAAATAATATTACATAGTAGACATTCAATACATTCATTAAGCATAAAATGAAACATTCTTTTAGGTAGATATTGAGTTTTAATTTGATACAAGGAAAATGAAACTCATTAATTAAGTATGTCATTAGAACACATGCTTAATATATTACAAAAGTAGGAGGTTTAGTAGATACTAACCTCAACACATAGCACGCATGTGACTAGCATACGTATAGGCGAAGCAATGCTCACAACAATATGGTGATGTCTCATGGTGTAGACGACAATACGGAACTGATTTGAAATAGTAAAACCCCTTGAAAAGTTGATACCCAGTAAGATGCATTTCCCTCACAAGCGTCTCCACTTGCTCTGCTATCATGACGGCCTAGTGAAAGTTAGATAGCTTGTGTAGAAAATGTGCTAGGACTTCTTCTCCTTCTTCTAAACCACCACAACATATGAGGAAAAGGCCATATGCGTATCGAGCATAAATGCTATAACACGCAGCATCACCCAATAGATCTAACCTCTCTTGCGATGGGCCTAGTAGAGTTAGGAGCCGCACAGATTCCACAAATTGTGCAATGGGATTTTGACTGGCAAGACACCTCAACAAGAAGAGTCTGTAGATGGAGGAGACGCTAGCAATGTGACCATGGAATATAAACTCATCCAAATCAACCTCACGCAATACCGCTTCCGAATACACTATTTCTCTGAAAACAGGACCGACAACAATGAAAGGACCTAGGTAACGAAATCCTTGCATCCCTACCTTCTGGATTATGTCTCTCCACAAAGGAATGGGGATTTAAATCATTCTTTGTAGTAGAGTTTTCGTTTTACAAGAAGAATAAGAAGAAGATGGAGACTACAATTTTTTATAGTGATTCAATATGACAAACCTAGTTTACTAATTGGTTGTTCTCATTTAATATTGTAGGTTGGTGGGGTGGTTACTTATTGTAGATAAACGTTCACTCACATTATGAGGTTGGTGAGCTTGGCGAGGTAGAGTTAATTATTTCAAGAGATCCTACTTCATTACTACCCATATTTCATATACACGTTTGCATACAACCATAAAGTACAGGTTATATTATAAATATGAAAGTGGAAGGTACCTAGTACCAAAACATTACACTGAATTCATTACTAGCCATAATAAATAGTAGAAGAAGCATAACAAGTTTTTCACATTCAAGAGTTACAAGTCTAGCCATCATAAAAAGTAGAAGAAGCATAACGAGTTTTTCACATTCAAGAGTTACAAGTCAATCGGTTGTGGCCAGTATGACCACAATTTGAACAAGCGTGAGCTTTCCGGGGTCTGCCAGACTGATTCCTCACAAATGGTGAATTACAAACTTTTGCAATTAGAGCATTTGGGACTGGACAATTTTCATCCTTGGGCATCATAGATTTAGCATAACCATTGCGTAGATAGTCGGTCCGGTAGTAAGGATGACACTTTGAAACTCTAGACACATTTGCACTCTCAGCTGCGGCTAAGACATGTATGCAAGGCAGTTTGTCAATGTTGAATATACGACATGAACATTTCTTTTGTGACAGATTTACAACATTCATGGACGATCCGCTCCTCACTTCGTACTGCTGTGGATCAATCTCTTGAACATTTAAAACACTTGCTCTTGCTAATCGGGCCTTCAAGACAAGAAATAATATTACTAATTTATATTTTAACAAAGATGATATTTACATAACAAAAAACATACTTTACAATACCTCTAACAGCTTCTCAACTCCGTTGGTTAGAACTGTTTCAATATCAGCAGCATGTCTTCTTCTTGCAGCAAACCACCTAGTCAACATCAATCTTATCTCATCTAATAGCTGCACAATCGGATACTTTCTTGCTGGCTTTAAAACATTGTTGATAGACTCTGCTATGTTGGTGGTGGTAAAGTTATATCTATCACCTGGAAAATGTGCACGGCTCCACTTACTTACATCAGCACCCTGCAAATAACTATGAAGTTGTGGATGCAACTGTTCAATCAATTGAAACTTTGCATTAAAATCTTGCAACCTATAAGCAGTGGCCGCCTGCTTCACCAATCCAAACGTTTCATTCCCTCTAAATTTCAACAAAATATTTTTGTGTAGATGGTAAGTGCAGATCACACGCCTAGCTAGCGGATATACTTTCTCTATTGCTTTCCCGATGGATTTATGTCTATCATATATAATGGCAGGACCTTCATCATCAGGAATAACACAACTGAGTTGTCTAAAAAACCATTCCCAAGAGGCATCTTTCTCGGTATCAACTACAACGAATGCTAATGGAAAGATGTTATAATTTCCATCTTGTGTTGTCGCTATTAACAACGTTCCAAGGTATTTCCCTTTCAACAAAGTACCATCCACGACAATAACTTTCCTCATAAAAGAAAATCCATCTATGCTAGCACCAAATGCTATGAAAACTGACTTGAATCTATTATTGTCATCCACTTCTAACCTTGTTAGAGTTCCGGGATTAGCTCTTCGGATCATCTATAAATAAACCGGGAGTTCTCTATAACCATCCTCATAGGTTCCCCTCACTAACTCACGGGCAGACTTAAGAGTACGATATTTTTTCCAGTAATCAACCTATATATGTGAAAAGACCTATAAGCTAACCTTCGTTGCAGTTAAAAATCGATTTAAATTATACAGAGTTATGAAAATTAAATATGTTCAACTAACCTTGATTCCATAACGTAGAGTTAGGGCCTCTCCCACATGATTAGGGAGGACGTCAGCACCAACACCCCCAACACTCTTTATACAATTCTCCCAATATATATGGGGTTGCTTTTCTTGAACGTAATTGGCGTTCAGTGACAGAGCAAGTATGTTGCCTTGCATAGATTCGAATCTGAAAAATGCTTGATTCACCAATGGTTGTTGCTTGCACTCACCATTTACATCAACGGATCCAACATTTCACAACATACAAAGTAGGACTTGATCGATCAACATAGAAGTCAAAATTTTGGAAGACACTTATAATCTTCAATGTACTCTCCAATGCATCTTTAGACTCAAATGTTTGACCAACTTCAATATCAATATCACGAAAATCACTTTGATCTCGCAATAGACTTGATGTCTTCATATTAATTTTCGGATAAGAATTCCCTTTCCTTTCTTCATCCCCAGAACTTGCTCCATCTGGATCATCACAACAATCAAACCTATATTTCTCGTCTTCATCAGAATCAACTTCTCCTTCCTCGTCCTCCTCAATAATTAGATGTTTCTCAGTAGTAATCCCCTTCATTACTTTGTCGTGATTTCCCTCCATCTTCCTTACTCTGTTGCCTTATCCCATTATCCCCCTTACTCTGTCGGCTTTTCCTTACATCCTCCTCACTTTCCCTGCTTACATTTGTTGGAATCTTCAGGTGTAAATTAACAATTTCGACACAGAGCCGCCGCACTGATTCACATTTCCAGAGATGGAGAAATCCTAGGTATTGTCGTCCATTACAAACAAATACAGGTGGTGTATCCTCCGGTAGTGATATGGATGTCTTCTTGCTCGACAGTCTGTACGATAGATGGACCTCATACAAATTCCTTTCCAACCCGAAATCCTCATACACCATTCCCATAAACTCCTCAAATAATTCTCTTCTACTTGAACATAACACCCTAGTACCTCTTTTCTCATCAACCATAAAAACCCAACTCCTGTGCCAAAATTTCCACTTCCCACAAACCAACGCAATAACCTCCATCAAATCCCGAAGATTTACTCCCTCCTTTAATTATAATTTCCGAACTCCATAAATTTTCGTTTCCCCCACAACCAAAAATCGCGAACACTAACTTCGTCGGCTTTAGATAGAAGAAGAAGATAGTTGATGGAGGGTAGAGATTTGGCTTCCAACTCTATCGTTGGGCTTTATATCTATCAGAATCTTGCTATTATAGTAACAACAACTCTATCATCACTACATCTATATCTACCATAACGTGATAAACTCTACCATCAAGTGTTATAGCTCACAACTACTGTTCTGGCCACTTTAACTCTACCAACACTGTACCTTAGTCTGCTACCTAACTATATCACACCGATAACTCTCCCACCACTGCAACATACTCTGTGAGGAAACTTTAGCGCTACCATAACTCTAACTATCTTTTCTGACTAAGTCTACCGCCATTACAGCATATCTCGTAGATAACTCTATACTATTAAAAACTCTACCACCACTACTGGAAACTATACTTCTTTACTCTATCAACTTACTCACTCTACCATCACTATAGTAATCTCTAACTGACAACTATGTCAAAAACCGACCTCTCTACATCATATCTCTAAATCCAAGTCAAAGTCTACCATAACTACTTCGGTAGACTTATTAATTGGCGGGAGTTTTCCCTCCCAAATTTGTCATTCTCTCTCCGACGTGGAATTTAATTTTAATGGCATCACCCGTAATTACGGTTTTTCCTACAACTGCTGAGTAAGGACAACGCTGCCATTTTTCACATTATTTCTCTCTCATCCAAATCAGTAATAAACAAGAATTTAAGAGTTAGTTTCGCAAACCACCCTAAAATGATTGATCCCCACGGGCCAAAATAATACTTGGTTGAATCCTTACCAGGGAAGACATCTTGTTTGGTGCTGAATGAGGATGTAGATACTATCACAATGAGGGATACTAATTTCTGTTATTGGTATAAATCTCTTACTTGTGTTTGTTGGTAGGCCGTTAAAAACCTCTCTGTAGACTATGTTTGTCACATATTTGTCTTGTTTCTGTTTTGATGTGTACAGGACTTTCAAACCACTTGGGGATGTGACACGCGACAATGTAACGTATAGTTGGCCGTGGCTGAACACTTTCTTTAAGGTTTGTCCTTGGCTTTTATTTACTGTCATAGCATAGCACATTCGCACCGGAAACTGGCGTCTTTTTACGGCCAATAGGGTCAATACCCTTCTCAGTAAATAACACATTAAACCTTACAAAATTAGTGCCATGATATTGTTATCTATTTTTTCTTGGCGTTCATTAATTTTTCCATAATATATTGATGTATTGCTGTACTCTAGGCTCTAACTCTCATTAACTTATAAATAGATTATGTGAAGAAAGATGAAAAAGAAGAATATTGGAATAATATAATACTTGTCAGATATTATTTCTATACACAAAATAATTAGGATATTGTGGTAATTTTTGTTTGTTTAAACTTGGAAAAAATAAGTAATACATGAAAAGGTATTAAGCTAATGATCAATAATTCATATGTCGTTGATATATTTCAATTTGTTTACAAAAATTGTTTATTTGTAACATACCTTTTTTTTTTTGCAGCCCTTTTAGCCAATAATATTGCATGTCTCATTTGACGTGCCTTTCTTTGTTGAGCTGCAATGATATTTGTGTTACTAATCTTAAATCTATTAATCATGTTTCTGACTTTTTGGACATATATGAGCAAGATATTCTGTTCTAATTTACCTTTTCGTTCGACGATGCTTAGCCCATAATCTGTTATTCTCGTTGGGAAATCTGTGGTTTAAATCATCATTGTTGTATTAGAGTGCTACAATCATATATATATAATATATATGTCTAGGGATAAATTGTAAACTTACATGTTTTTGGTTGGAGTGGTTTAGGATCGAAGGTGAACTGTAAAGATCACCCAAGCGAGATTTATAAGAGATAAAACCCATAAATAGTTTTGATTTCACTATTGGGTAAGCTTCCAAAATGACGAGACACAAAAATTCAAGATCCAACAAATAAACAAAACCCTTGAGAGCAAACATGTTAGATCCATAAATCCAGTTTTTCTTTCTGAGTTTTTGTTTTTAATTTTTCTTTTGTAGGTTTTTCTTGGAGACTCGATTCGGGAAAAATGATAAAATTGGATTAAGGGATTCGATTTTGATATATATATTTTCATATTTTCTTTATTGTTGCAGAGATGCAAACGAAAAAGACAAACAATTTTGTAAGAACATTTTATTAAGAAAAATCAATGTGTTGTCATTTTTTTGTCTTCAAAACAGCAAGGTGTTTAAACTGCCACGTCATCGATATAGAGAAGGGTTATATTGTGGGTGACTTTTGAGATTATAGTATTGACTTGCATTTATTTGATGTGGAGGGTTTTCTTGCAAAACAAAATTACTTAGATGGTTTTTTTGCACAAAACTCTTATGTAAACAATGTTGTTGTTGATCAAATATAGTTGTTGATAAAAAAACCAAACAATTGAATCACGTTGTAAACCGCATATGTAAACCGTTTTTTTCACGTTGCTACTTGACCTTAGAACTTTTGATTAATTGATCGTACACAATTTTGATCAAAACAATTATCATTACGTCTTGTCCAAAAAGATTCTACAGGTGAAGGAGAAAATTTAATTTTCTTCATTCTTTTGAAGAAATAACATTACATTTGTTCAACGATTGAGTAATCTTAATCACAATATATCATTATATCATATTTAATTTACTGATCATAAGGCTTATGAATGGGACTACAGAATCTTCAGGTTTTTGTAAAGAAGTAGAGTTTTTGTAAGAAAGCTAGAAGCCTAGAACAGACAATGCGAGGCCAGAGACCCTAAGAACCGACCGGACCACTCATGCATGACTCAACGAAAACATTAGTCCTATTTGGGCCAACGTTGCCCATAGAAAATAGTCCACATTTGCTAACCAAAATCACAACCTGTGGAACACACTCAATTAATTAAAGAATTAAACTCTATGTATACACGGCAAACGGAATGATCACTACAAAATGGGTAGACACATACTTGGAAGCTCGGAGGAAAACTAACCATGATTATATTGCAATATAATTCAGTAGGGGGAGCACCAACGAAGAAAGCTAAAATCATCAAACTTGGTGACTTGAGAGAAAGAAATGAAAGAGCATCAAATGCTCACATCAATCCATGTTTTGATTATATAATGTCTGGGAATGATTAAACATTCTAAATCCGAATTAAACCAAAAGGTAAACAGCAAAATAGTAATCAATGACTTTTAATTTGTGATAGATCGAGTGGACGGAGACGGTGGAGGCGAGGCGACGAGGAGTGGTGGGTAGAAAAGTGAGATTTTGGTTATATTGGCGGAGGTTAGAAAGGAAGGAGGCGAGATATAAGGAAGATCAATCATCCTTCTTTGTTACTTTGTCGAGCACAATGGTGAAGACGATTTGTGGGGGTAAGATTTCAGTGACGAGTGTGTGTAATTTAAGTTTTGAATGAGAAATTGATAATGAAAATTGTATATTTTTTATAGGTATCGAAACGCCGGGGACATTATCGGAGGTTTGGGGAATATAAACCAGCTTCGTTGAAGAAAAAAAAGTTAGTGTTTATGGAAACATTTGGTATAGTTTTGTAACGATGACTTATAGATTTGGTAGATTGCTTTGAATTTTAAGAGTAATTTTGTAATATGGTAAGTATCTGGTAACAATGACTTATAGAGTGTGGAAAATCTGGAAAAATAGGATAGAAAATTGTATTTGAATTTGGCGGGTTGTTTGGGGAAAAAAAGAATTTTGTTTGGTATTGCATTGAAAATGACATTTCATATAGTGTGCTGGCAGAGTATATATTTAGAGTTAGTGTCATTAAAGTATGATATTGTGATAGAGTAGTGTAATTAAAGTAGTTATATTTGCTATTTTATTCTCATTACAAAAGACAAAAAAAAAACTGCTGGTGGGGTCTGATGTACACTCATATAAATAAAGCATGCATGGTATGTAGTAACATGGAATGAGAGTATAAAATTGGAATGTAGTAGGTTGTATGTTACATGGAATGAGTTAATGTGATTTTTTTCAATTTCAGACGGTTTCTGTTTTTACAATTGTTTCACAGAATTTGAAAAAAGAGATAGTGGATTATAATGTGAATTTGATTGTGTTATTTGTAATTTTCACACCCGTTTGTGTTTTTATAATTGTTGGTTTGGTTTTGAATTCACAATGAAATTAACAATAGTATTCACAGACTTTGAAAATAGAGATGTTGTGGCAGAAAATATTGATAGATTATAAAGTTATGCATATTAGTTTAAGTGTTAGCTTGATTTTGAGTGTGAATTAATGGATAAAGGGTTGGTTATAATGAAATAAGTTTAAGAACGATTGTATGTAGAAATGATAGGCCGTTGGATTATAAATTGAATTTGATTGTGTTAGTTGTAATTTTCACACCCTTTTGTGTTTTTACAATTGTTGGTTTGGTTTTGAATTCAAAATGACATTAACAATAGTATTCACAGACTTTGAAAATAGAGATGTTGTGGCAAAAAATATTGATAGAGTATAAAGTTATGCATATTTGTTTAAATGTTAGCTTGATTTTGATTGTGATTGTTGTAATTTGCAGGAAATGACATCATCAAGTGGTGAAAAGAAGGGAAAGTACCCTCCTTTACTGTATGCGCCTGGAAAATCTCATCTCTTGAAGAGGAGCATCCACCATAATTGCACTTTGGCGAGTTTTGGATTCATGAAAGATTGCATTGGTGAAGATGTTTACAAAGACATCCGGGACCATACACAAGTAGGAGTTTTATTGAGTCTTGCTGATTCTGACTATGTGTGGTGGGCTAAGCTTGTGCATTACATCCTCACACGGCAGTTGGCTATAGAGAGGAGGTATGAGATTTGGTCATTGATTGAAGGCTGTCCGATTATGTTCTCTCTATATGAGTATGAAGAGATTTCTGGTCTGAACTGAACTGTCAGCCCATAGTTGAGGATGATATTGTGGAAGTAGATCACAGAGAATTTTGGGCAGAGTTAAAGGTGGATAGTGGTGTAGGGCCTAACTGGTATGACTTGGATGAAGCCTTGAAGAATTGCAGAACATGGACTCCTGACAAGAGAAAGATGTTGGGACTGTTGTTTGTTGTTCATGTTGGCATATTGGGACTCCCGAGGGGCAGTAGGATTCCACTGGAGTATGCAAAAAGAGTTTTATATATTGCAGCATTTGATAGATTTCCATGGGGCCGGGTGGGATTTAAGGAGCTAATCCAGTCCATTAAAGTGCTGTCCTTTAAGAAAGAGAGTTGTGCAATCCATGGATGTGTTCATGTTCTCATGATATGGGCATTTGACTGTTTGAAACTTGTGAAGAAAAAGGTGATAGTTTCTCTTTTATCCAACTTCATTTCTTAGAATTTCGACCTGTTTTAGGGTTTTGAGAGACTTGTTTCCAATGTAGATTGTAGCTGAACATGTCTCCTGGCGAGAAGAAGACGATATATTCCCTTTCTGGCCTGATGAGGTAGCTGTCTACGGGGAATCATGTGGCTCTAACAAACTCCTCGACAATCTGTTGCATGACATCTTCCTAGGACGTGTTGATGAGAGACAGTGGGATGTTCCATGTACTGAGGTTGGAGGACAGAAGAAGATGGAGAAGAATAAGCAGATCATGGACTCTGATGATGTTGGAGGACATAAGAAGATGGAGAAGAGGAAGCAGATCATAGATTATGTTATTGTTGGAGTACAGAAGAAGATGGAGAAGAGGAAGCAGCTCATGGATTCTGAAGATAAAGTTGATCCTCCTCCACAGAAGAAACAGAGTTTTAGACGGTCTAAAGGGCTAGTTAAGTTGGTAGAACCTAGTGACGAAAGTGGAGAGGAGAGCTCGGGGTCTGAGAGGGCAGAGAAAGGATCACTAGAAGGATTAATGAAGTTGCTGGGAAGTTTGACAGGGAAGGTTGATTCAATGCATGCTAACTTGGGAGGTCAGATGGAAAAGATTGGGAACCAAGTTAATGTGATTGAGAAGAAAGTGACAGTCCTTGAGACTGATGTGTGCGAGTTGAAGAAAGATAAAGGAGAAGTAGGTGATAAGAAAGGGAAGGATGCGAAGATTGGTAATGAAGTGAAGATAGGGGGTGATGCGAATGATGAGGAGTCCAAAACTGGAGATGATGGTGGTTCTGGAGCCAACGCTGAGGTATGACCCTTAAACATATCTCTTTATTTGCATTGACAGACTTTCATATAAGGTATGGTAAAAGGATATTGGTTTTTTTCATGCAGAAAAATCCTTAGTTGGTTGGTTGCTGGAGAAATCTTTTCAAGCTAACTTTATCTCCATGTATTTTCTTCTTGTTCATTTTGTTAAAAACATTACAATGGTTTGAATTTGTAAAATATGAAGTTTGTGTTTTTTTTAGACTTAACTCTGTTATGTATTAACTTTTTCCATATGTAAGGCCTATATTTGCTAAGTCTGCTATTCTGATGTCCAAATGTTTATTAACCTTTTAGTCTTGGAGATTAGAGACGAAGCAAACATCGCAGGACGAGTTCCATATTTCTTGTGTTGTAAGGAATCCAACAACTCGATCAAGATTGTCTGTCAAGAAAGTCAGAGAAGTTTAATTTGGAGGGAAGGAAATGAATCAAGCAGTTGGAGTTGGAGCTAAACAACTTAAGGAACCAAGATCTGCTCCTGAGAAGAAGAGGAGTGAAACTGTTATTCCCTTGAGAAACAATTTTATCTCTGAAATGCTTGACAGAGATCCTGTCAAGAAGAGGATTTATTATGGAAGTCCTTCTGGATTGATTGTTCCAGAAACACAGTTCAGTCCAGTTCAAGGAGGAGGCATGGAAATGAATAAAGTTGGTAGACTCAGAGGAAAACAAGTAAAGGAGCATACATCTGCACTTCAGAACAAGAGGACTGAATCTGTTATACCATTAGCAAAGAATTCTATCTCTGCCATGCCTGGCAGAGAGAGTGTCAAGAAGAGACTGGATTATGGTGAGGAAGGGCAAGTGGAAACGGGTGATCCATTACCTATTGATTTGACTACTGCTTTGGAAGAATCATCGGACGGATCAGACATATCAGAGCCTCCTGAGGTTGAAGCTAGAAAGAATTTGGGTTTATCCCTTGAAAAGTTGTACATATTTTGCAAAGCAGATGGTGTTGTTCCTCGTCAAGGCCGAAAGAGAAACCTTGCTTCCACTCAACTACATCCGTACGTTGGTAGTTCTGTTGTTAAGCGTATACTGAAAGGAAAAAAATTGTCTCCAGCGCATTATGATCCTTTTGAGAAGGTCAGCATATCTATGGCAGATAAGTTAATGGCATATATAGACAAAGATTTTTAAGTTTAACTCTGCCTTTAATTCGCCTATCTGCTTATCTCTGCCTATATTTAATTTCCTTCGCAGTAACTCCCTTTCATTTGATGTGTATAGGGAGTGCTTGTTTGATGAAAGTTGCTATGGGTTAATTTCTACTTAAGGATCCTGACTCAAAAAACTTGCTGGCCTAGTTCATCTTCTGATTTTGGGTGGTTGAAGGATGCGGTAATCATTTCTCTCCTCTCTCTTTTTGTTTCAGTTATAACATAAACATATATAATGTTACTCTATGACAACATCTTTCCTCTTTTGGCAACATATGTGTGCCATTATGCAGATGTTTAGGAAAAGGTCAATGAGAGAAATTTCACCGTATAGAAGCGATCGGATAGCATTCCTAGATGCATGTTTTGTTAACCAATAGCAACATGACTTCAAGAAGTTTGAATCAGATAAAAACTACTTGTTTCCTGAGATGTATTTCAAAGTGTTGAATGGCCTACACTCCACATTTGGACAGACTCTGAAGAGGTGGGTCGAAGAAGTTGATATTCTCTACTTTGCACACAACATTAACAATTGTCACTGGGTAGCTGTTGAGGTGAATCTGATTAAGCGCCGTGTTAAAGTCTACGACAGCATATGCAGCCTCTACATATATGAAGAAGTATTTGAGTCGTGCAAACCTTACACGAAAATGATCCCAGTATTGATGAAGATAGTAGCGCCAGCTGATGAGAAAAAGATTTATCTGGCAAAGCTTTCACCATTTACAGAGTTAAGAAAACGCCACAGAACTATCAACAAGGAGATTGTGGGGTGTATGCGGTGAAGTATATTGAATGTTTGGCTATAGGTCTAACTTTTGATGGGTTATCTGACGAAGCTCTACCAGGTATTCGGTTGAAACTTGCAGCAGACGTATTTGATGAGGTGGCTGATATAGATTGCTTCATTGAAATTTCTGATCCAAATCCACGAGGTTCAGAGACAGGTGGGGTAGAGTTTCTATCTCAGCCATGATGTACTCTACCACGTTTTAACTAATGTAATTTTTTGTGCACGTTACAACGTTGCATGTTCTTACTAATTAAATTTTGGTAAGTAATCCTTTTTATATATGGATAATTGGTGTAATATATGAAATCATATATGTTAATTTTATCTCTTAATTAGACATACACTGTGCTACAAGATATATGGTCCATCATATGCAATAGATAAATTGATAGATAACGAAAACATATATTACAATTGCACTATTAATTTGGTACATGAAGTCACATCCACATAGTTAGAGGTGACATAAATAATATTACATAGTAGACATTCAATACATCCATTAAGCATAAAATGAAACATTCATTTAGGTAGATATTGAGTTTTAATTTGATAAAAGGAAAATGAAACTTATTAATTAAGTATGTCATTAGGACACATGCTTAATATATTACAAAAGTAGGAGGCTTAGTAGATACTAACCTCAACACATAGCACGCATGTGACTCGCATACGTATAGGCGAACCAATGCTCACAACAATATGGTGATGTCTCATGGCGTAGACGGCAATACGGAACTGATTTGAAATAGTAAAACCCCTTGAAAAGTTGATACCCAGTAAGATGCATTTCCCTCACAAACGTCTGCACTTGCTCTGTTATCATGACAGCCCAGTGAAAGTTAGATAGCTTGTGTAGAAAATGTGCTAGGACTTTTTCTCCTTCTTCTTAACCACCACAACATATGAGGAAAAGGCCATATGTGTATCGAGCATAAATGCTATAACACGCAGCATCACCCAATAGATCTAACTTTTCTTGCGATGGGCCTAGTAGAGTTAGGAGCCGCACATATTACACAAATTGTGCAATGGGATTTTGACTGGCAAGACACCTCAACAAGAAGGGTCTGTAGATGGAGGAGACGCTAGCAATGTGACCATGGAATATAAACTCATCCAAATCAACCTCACGCAACACCGCTTCCTAGAATACCATTTCTTTGAAAACAGGACCGACAACAATGAAAGGACCTAGGTAACGAAATCCTTGCATCCCTACCTTCTGGATTATGTCTCTCAACAAAAGAATGGGGATGTAAATCATTCTCTGCACTAGAGTTTTCGTTTTACAAGAAGAAGAAGAAGAAGATGGAGACTACACATTTTTATAGTGATTCAATATGACAAACCTAGTTTACTAATTGGTTGTTCTCATTTAATATTGTTGGTTGGTGGGGTGGTTACTTATTGTAGATAAACGTTCACTCACATTATGAGGTTGGTGAGCTTGGCGAGGTAGAGTTAATTATTTCAAGAGATCCTACTTCATTACTACCCATATTTCATATACACGTTTGCATACAACCATAAAGTACATGTTATATTATAAATATGAAAGTGGAAGGTACCTAGTACCAAAACATTACACTGAATTCATTACTAGCCATAATAAATAGTAGTAGAAGCATAACAAGTTTTTCACATTCAAGAGTTACAAGTCTAGCCATCATAAAAAGTAGAAGAAGCATAACGAGTTTTTCACATTCAAGAGTTACAAGTCAATCGGTTGTGGCCAGTATGACCACAATTTGAACAAGCGTGAGCTTTCCAGGGTCTCGTTCTCTCCATTGCAATCGCCAAAGGTCCTTTAACTCTACTAACCTTAGGTCTGCCAGATTGAGTCCTCACAAATGGTGAATTACAAAGTTTTGCAATTAGAGCATTTGGGACTGGACAATTTTCATCCTTGGGTATGATAGATTTAGCATAACCAATGCGTAGATAGTCGGTCCGGTAGTAATGATGACACTTTGAAACTCTAGACACATTTGCACTCTCAGCTGCGGCTAAGGCATGTATGCAAGGCAGTTTGTCAATGTAGAACATACGACATGAACATTTCTTTTGTGACAGATTTACAACATTCATGGACGATCCGCTCCTCACTTCGTACTGCTGTGGATCAATCTCTTGAACATTTAAAACACTTGCTCTTGCTAATCGGGCCTTCAAGACAAGAAATAATATTACTAACTTATATTATAACAAAGATGATATTTACATAACAAAAAACATACTTTACAATACCTCTAACAGCTTCTCAACTCCGTTGGTTAGAACTGTTTCAATATCTGCAGCCTGTCTTCTTCTTGCAGCAAACCACCTAGTCAACATCAATCTTATCTCATCTAATAGCTGCACAATCGGATACTTTCTTGCTGGCTTTCAAACATTGTTGATAGACTCTGCTATGTTGCTGGTGGTAAAGTTATATCTATCACCTGGAAAATGTGCACGGCTCCACTTACTTACATCAGCACCCTGCAAATAACTATGAAGTTGTGGATGCAACTGTTCAATCAATTGAAACTTTGCATTAAAATCTCGCAACCTATAAGCAGTTGCCGCCTGCTTCACCAATCCAAACGTATCATTCCCTCTAAATTTCAACAAAATATTTTTGTGTAGATGGTAAGTGCAGATCCCACGGCTAGCTAGCAGATATACTTTCCCTATTGCTTTCCCGATGGATTTATGTCTATCAAATATAATGGCAGGGCCTTCATCATCAGGAATAACACAACTGAGTTGTCTAAAAAACCATTCACAAGAGTCATCTTTCTCAGTATCAACTACAGCGAATACTAATGGAAAGATGTTATAATTTCCATCTTGTGTTGTCGCTATTAACAACGTTCCAAGGTATTTCCCTTTCAAAAAAGTACCATCCACGACAATAACTTTCCTCATAAAAGGAAATCCATCTATGCTAGCACCAAATGCTATGAAAACTGACTTGAATCTATTATTGTCATCCACTTCTAACCTTGTTAGAGTTCCGGGATTAGCTCTTCGGATCATTTATAAATAAACCGGGAGTTCTCTATAACCTTCCTCATAGGTTCCCCCCACTAACTCACGGGCAGACTTAAGAGTACGATATCTTGTCCAGTAATCAACCTATATATGTGAAAAGACCTATAAGCTAACCTTCTTTGCAGTTAAAAATCGATTTAAATTATACAGAGTTATGAAAATTAAATATGTTCAACTATCCTTGATTCCATAACGTAGAGTTAGGGCCTCTCCCACATGATTAGGGAGGACGTCAGCACCAACACCCCCAACACACTCTTTATACAATTCTCCCAATATATCTGGGGTTGCTTTTCTTGAACGTAATTGGCGTTCAGTGAAGGAGCAAGTATGTTGCCTTGCATAGATTCGAATCTGAAAAATGCTTGATTCCCCAATGGTTGTTGCTTGCACTTGCCTTTTACATCCACGGATCCAACATTTCACAACATACAAAGTAGGACTTGATCGATCAACATAGAAGTCAAACTTTTGGAAGACACTTATAATCTTCAATGTACTCTCCAATGCATCTTTAGACTCAAATGTTTGACCAACTTCAATATCAATATCACGGAAATCAATTTGATCTCGCAATAGACTTGATGTCTTCATATTACTTTTCGGATAAGAATACCCTTTCCTTTCTTCTTTCCTATCCACATTAACATTTTCCTCTTCACCTTCTAATACCACAAACTTAGGAGGCAAAGCATACTCTTCATCCCCAGAACTTGCTCCATCTGGATCATCACAACAATCAAACCTATATTTCTCGTCTTCATCAGAATCAACTACTCCTTCCTCGTCCTCCTCAATAATTGGATGTTTCTCAATAGTAATCCCCTTCATTACTCTGTCATGATTTCCCTCCATCTTCCTTACTCTGTTGCATTATCCCATTATCCCCCTTACTCTGTCGGTTTTTCCTTACATCCTCCTCACTTTCCCTGCTTACATTTGTTGGAATCTTTAGGTGTAAATCAACAATTTCAACACAGAGCCGCCGCACTGATTCACATTTCCAGAGACGGAGAAATCCTTGGTATTGTCGTCCATTACAAACAAATACAGGTTACGTATCCTCCGGCAATGATATGGATGTCTTCTTGCTCTAGTCTGTACGATAGATGGACCTCATACAAATTCCTTTCCAACCTGAAATCCTCATACACCATTCCCATAAACTCCTCAAATAATTCTCTTCTACTTGGACATAACACCCTAGTACCTCTTTTCTCATCAACCATAAAAACCCAACGCTTGTGCCAAAATTTCCACTTCCCACAAACCAACGCTATAACCTCCATCAAATCCCGAAAATTTACTCCCTCCTTTAATTATAATTTCCGAACTCCATAAATTTTCGTTTTCCCCACAACCAAAAATTGCGAACACTAACTTCGTCGGCTTTAGATAGAAGAAGAAGATAGTTGATGGAGGGCATAATGGTCTTTACGATTACCACGTTCGCCCTAAAAAACTTTGTACTAAATTGCAACTAACATAACTCTATTACACAAGTTTATATAGTGGTGGTAGAGATTTGACTTCCAACTCTATCGTTGGGCTTTATATCTATCAGAATCTTGCTATTATAGTAACACCAACTCTATCATCACTACATCTATATCTACCATAACGTGATAAACTCTACCATCAAGTGTTATAGCTCACAACTACTGTTCTGGCCACTTTAAATCTACCAGCATTGTACCTTAGTCTGCTACCTAACTATATCACACTGATAACTCTCCCACCACTGCAACATACTCTGTCAGGAAACTTTAGCGCTACCATAACTCTAACTATCTTTTCTGACTAAGTCTACCCCCATTACAGCATATCTCGTAGATAACTCTATACTTTTAAAAACTCTACCACCACTACTGGAAACTATACTTCTTTACTCTATCAACTAACTCACTCTACCATCACTATAGTAATCTCTAACTGACAACTATGTCAAAAACCGACCTCTCTACATCATATCTCTATATCCAAGTCAAAGTCTACCATAACTAATTCGGTAGACTTATTAATTGGCGAGAGTTTTCCCTCCCAAATTTGTCACTCTCTCTCCGACGTGGAATTTAATTTTAATGGCATCACCCGTAATTACGGTTTTTCCTACAAATGCTGAGTAAGGACAACGCTGCCATTTTTCACATTATTTCTCTCTCATACAAATCAGTAATAAACAACAATTTAAGAGTTAGTTTCGCAAACCACCCTAAAATGATTGATCCCCAGGGGCCAAAATAATACTTTGTTGAAACCCTACTTAAGTAGCCTTATAAAAAGGAGATGATTAGAAGAGAAGCAGCAGCTAAAACTTATTAGAGAGCAGCCATAATTATCCGAGAGGAGTTGCATTCTTCAGCTTCCTATAGATTAACCTCAAAATTTCTTGAGGGTTTGTGTTTTTTTTCTTGGTTTCAGCCGGCCATGGATTATCCAGATGATGACATAATCTATATCGAATCAGACGACAAAGAGAATCTTCCCAGCGATGACGAAGAGAATCTTCCCTTCGATGACGAAGCGAATCTTCTCAGCGATGATGAAGATAAAGACTACGGCGGATTCGCCGAGGAAGAGATAAAACAAGCTCCGGAAAGTTACGTAGTTCTCAAGGAAGAAGACATCCGTAAGCGTCAAAGAGACGATATTGAACGAGGTTTTACGGTTCTCTCTATCAGCCAAGTCAAAGCAATCGCTCTGCTTCTTCACCATAGTTGGAGTGTTAGTAAAGTCCAAGATGAATGGTTTAAAGACGCGGATAAGATCCGTGAAACCGTTGGTATACTCAAGGAGCCTGTCATTGAGGTTAATGGTGGAAATGTCGAATGTGGGATTTGCTTCGAATCATACCCTCAGGGAGAGATCGAAAGGGTTTCTTGTGGTCATCCTTATTGCAAGACTTGCTGGACTGGTTACATCACTACCAAAATCGAAGACGGTTCTAGATGTTTAAGAATTGTATGTCCTGAGCCTTCTTGTCCTGCTGCTGTTGGTCAAGAATTGATCGATAAGGTCGCTGAGAAGGAAGACAAGGACAAGTATGATAGATATTTACTCAGGTCTTATGTCGAAGAAGGGAAGAAGTTTAAATGGTGTCCATCACCGCGATGCGAATACGCTGTTGATTTTCATGGAAGTAGTACTAGTAACGATGTTTCTTGTATGCGTTCCTTTAGGTTTTTCTATAACTGCTGTGAAGACGCTCACACTCCCATGGACTGTGACACAGTGGAGAAGTGGTTACTAAAGAACAGGGATGAGTCCGAGAACACGAATTGGATACTTGCTAAGACAAAGCCTTGTCCTAAATGCAAGCGTCCGATCGAGAAGAACAATGGATGTAACCATATGTTATGCACAGCTCCGTGTCATTTACATTTTTGTTGGGCTTGCCTTGAACCATTGGCAGGTCACAAGGCTTGCAACGGGTTTAAAGCTGAATCTCAGGATGAAAGTGAGAGAAAAAGGGCTAAAGATGCGATTGACAGATACACGCATTAATATGAAAGATGGGCATTCAATCAATCGTCCAGACTCCATGCTGCAAGTGATCTGGAGAAATGGGAATCCGTGGGGATTAAGGAGTTCAGTATTATATTAGGCACACCAGAAACTCATCTCCAATTCACCTTAGAGGCATGGCTTTAGGTTAGTACAAGTATACATAAAGATGATTCTTTGCTTATAGTAACACTTCGATACGGTTGAAAACGTATGTGGGATGTAACCGAGTTGAATTCTTTGCATTGTAGAATAAACGATAAAATCCCCTTAACTATATTATACTAGGGGTGATAACCCGCGCGTTGCGCGGGGTATTTTGCTATTTTGTTTTGAATTTTACAAAGTTTCAGAGTTAACTATTAATAAATTTGTTGAGAACAATACGAAACCCTAACATGTAAGGAAAAAACCAAAACCTAAAGAACAAACCCTAGTAAAAGGGTTATGCATGCATTGTGATATCCCTACTATAGTAAAAGAGAAGTACACAAGGAATTCGGGTCGGATTTTTTTTTGAATTCCGGGTTAGTTTTACAATCGGATACTTACTATAATTTCAATATGTGTGAAGACAGGCTTTTCAAGTAAATATATCGCACATTTCACTACAAAAAAATTGTACATTCATAGCAGCGAGTAATAGCATAATTTACAAATTTGCTATTGATTAATAGTATGTAATCTGGTTATCATATGATAGCATTAGATAAACGCTGTAAGTGAGTTTCAATAAGCGGGAAATAAAATCACTTATTCCACCAAACACTTAAGCCAAAATTGCAAAAAAATAGAACCAAACAATCCTTTTCTCAAGTCGCGACTCTCTCTCCTTGACTTAGCTGAAACCCTAGGTCGTGAGCCACTTCCATCGGACTCTGCCACCGGCGCCGCCCGCCGGAATTAATCTCGCCGCCCGTCGATTTCCAATTGAAGGTGATTTCCAATCTCTCTCTTCTTCACTTCACCCAGTTGCATGTCGAAATCCTTAATTCTCTTACCCAAACTAATTAGTTCGCCAATTCAGGATATTGATTCGTCGCCGCCGCCCTTTGAAGCACTGCCAGTGTTAATTTCGGCCGGATTGGAGGTTGAATCGAAGGTGGTTTTTCTTCCTTAGATGACTTTTGTTTGACTGTTTTAGATAATTATAATCTCTCTCTTCTTCACTTCACCCAGTTGTATGTCAAATATGTGTATGTGTTTCAATTCCCTGATGAAATTGGAACAATTCATAGTCATAATAAGTTTCTGAGATTTTGTTTAAGCGTATTGTGTGAACATTAGTAACAAAATTTAGGTTATCCGTGATATAGGTTAGAGAGAAACAATGTTTAGAAATATTTAAGAACATTAGTAAAAGATCTGAGATTTATGTTGTGTAACTGAGTAAAACTTCTACACCACGTTTACAAATAGGTTGTTTATCCGAGCTAAGAACATTTTTTGATGCTTATACTTTGGTTATGGATATTAGATGTTGCATTTTGGTTTTTATACTTACAAACTTTTATGAGTTTGGTTATGGATAATTGTTAAGAAGACATTTGCATTTGATTTTGGTTGTTATATTACAGTTTTATATAAATCGTTTTCATTTGCGTTTAAACTGTAATATGGCTTTCAAAGCTTATACTCATTCTTTAATTATGTTTTGCAAGTGTTGCTGAGTGCATTGATGGAACTATAAAGCTATTATTAATCTTCATTCCCAGGACATGTTAGTATCTTCTTATTTTTATGTCTCTTTTGGTGTTTCTTTCAATCTAGTTTGGTAAAATATATGCTGTTTTTTGCTTTCTGGTTTGTTGGTAATGTTGTCTTGTTGTTTCAAACATACTGTTTCGTGTGTGAGATTGTGGATTCTGATTTAATATATGTGATATAGTTGTTTATCAAATTTATTCATTATTTGATGTCTAAGATTCTATCAATAAATCTGATATGTTGATTGTGGACTAAGGTTAGATCATATAATGGTGAACAAAGATTGGCTGCATCTTTGCAGGTAATGATATAAATTATATAGGTTAGGCTAGCTTAAACTAGGGGTTTAGAGAGTTTATATTTTCTTTTTTAATTATGCATTGAAGAGCTGATCCAGCTTATGAAAGAGGGGCTTCAAATTTTGTACAAGCTGTGGCTGCGGATTTGGGAGATGGTGATATGATTATATGTCCTTGCATCGACTGTCGTAACATAGATCACCACCAAGGAATGGTTGTAGTTGACCATCTTGTTAGAAGGGGTATGGATGAGGCTTATAAGTTGCGGTCTGATTGGTATCATCATGGAGAGTTAAAGTCTGGGGTTGAAGGTGACAGTAAATTCAGTCACATGAATGATGAGATATATGGGTTATATCAAGCTGCAGAGTTCATGGATAACGACTTTTTGAGAAATGCTGAATTCGGTGAGATTGCAGAGTGTGACGACAAGAAGGAAGATGAGTTCCTTGCAAAGCTTGCAGACGCTGAAACACCCTTATATCCAAGTTGTGTGAATCACAGTAAACTCTCAGCAATTGTGTCCCTTTTCAGACTTAAGACACATAATGACTGGTCTGACAAGAGTTTTAATGATCTTTTGGAGACATTGCCGGAGATGTTACCGGAGGACAATGTACTACACACATCACTATATGAGGTGAAGATGTTCCTGAAGTCATTTGATGTGGGATACGAGAAGATTCATGCATGTGTTAATGATTGCTGCTTATTTAGAAGTAACTACAAGAAACTCGAGAATTGTCCTAAATGCAAAGCTTCCAGATGGAAGACGAGCATGGTAACCGGTGCAGTAAAAACAGGAGTTCCACAGAAAGTATTACGCTACTTTCCGATATTCCACGGTTGAAGAGAATGTTTCGGTCCGAGGAGATGGCTAAGGACTTATGGTGGCATCATAGTAACAAGAGCAACGATGGTAAACTCCGCCATCCCGTAGATTCAGTGACGTGGGATCAGATGAATGCCAAATATCCTTCCTTAGCAGCTGAAGAAAGAAATGTACGGCTTGGTCTTTCCACAGATGGATTTAATCCATTTAACATGAAGAACAACAACTATAGTTGCTGGCCTGTTTTGCTAGTAAACTATAATTTGCCACCAGACTTATGCATGAAGAAGGAGAACATCATGCTTTCACTGTTGATACCTGGACCACACCAGCCTGGCAATAGCATTGATGTATACTTAGAGCCGCTCATAGAAGATTTAAATCATCTGTGGAACAATGGAGAGACAACATATGATGCATTTAGTAAATCAACTTTTAATCTTAAGGCAATGCTTCTTTGGACGATTAGTGACTTCCCGGCTTATGGGAATCTAGCGGGCTGCAATGTAAAGGGTAAGATGGCATGTCCACTATGTGGAAAACATACAAACAGTTTGTGGTTGAAGTACAGCCGTAAACATGTCTATATGTGCCATCGGAAGAGATTGCCACCAACGCATAGTTTCAGATTAAAGAAGTCGTGGTTTGATGGAAAAACTGAAAATGGTAGAAAGGGAAGGATATTGTCTGGACAAGAAATTTCTCAACAATTGAAAATTTTCAAAAATCACTTTGGAAATCTGAAACGATCTGGACGCAAAAGAAAAATGACTCAGTGTACTGGAATAGAGTCTGATAAAGAGGAGTTATCAAGCGAGTCAGAAGAGGACGAAGAAGATGAAGTAAATGTAGATGAGGAAGAGTTATCATGATGGAAGAAAAGGTCTATATTTTTCAAGTTACCGTATTGGGAGGTATATTTTCACGTCCATATAGTCTTGTTATTTACTAATTTTTCCATTAACATTTAGTAAACGTTAGAGTTACTTACTGTTTTTGTGCTGTTTATTTTTTAGGATCTTCCTGTGAGGCATAACTTAGATGTTATTCATGTAGAAAGAAATGTGGCTGCAAGTATTTTCTCAACTTTGTTACATTGTGGGAAATCAAAGGATGGTCTAAATGCCCGTAAAGATTTGGAGTATCTTGATATTAGGAAGGATTTGCATCCTAGGACTCAAGGGAAAAGAACATATCTACCTGCAGCTCCTTGGTCCCTATCAAAGAAAGAGAATAAATTATTATGTAGTCGTCTTGATGATTTTAAAGGACCAGATGGCTATTGTTCTAATATAGCAAGAGGCGTATCTTTAGACGATTGTAAAGTAACAGGTCTGAAGCACGACTATCACGTGTTAATGCAACAACTCCTTCCAATTGCACTTAAAGGTTTGTTACCTAACGGTCCTAGGCTTGCAATTGTACGCTTATGTGCATTCTACAACCAACTGTGTCAGCGAGTAATTGATAGGGAGCAGATTTTAGTAATGGAAGTTGAGATTGTCGAAACGATATGCATGTTTGAAAGATTTTTTCCGCCAAGTTTCTTCGATATCATGGTTCACTTGACGGTTCATCTAGGAAGGGAAGCTCGGTTAGGTGGACCAGTCCATTTTAGATTGATGTACCCTTTTGAGAGGTGTATGAAAGTTCTGAAAGACTATGTGAGAAATCCAGCAAGACCAGAGGGGTGTATTGCTGAGTGTTATCTAGCTGAAGTTGCATCCAGTTCCGTAGTGAATTCTTAAAGAAGTCTACAAATGTACAAGACAAGCTTGATAGAAACAGTGACAACGAAAATAGTTGTATTCTAGAGGGTCGTCCTATATCCGCAGGCACTTCCATTACTCTTTCAGAAATGGATAAGAAAATAGCTCATCTTGCTGTCATCCAAAATATGGCTGTCGTTGAACCTTATATCGAGTAAGTTCTTTCCAATTCTTGTGCTCTTATTATTTACAGTTTTGATAAAGTATCTTATTAAGCTTATTGTTATTAATTTTGTACTAGTGAGCACCTTCAGCATTTACAAGACATTAATGCAAGATGCAGACGTGATGCATCAGTTTTATGGACTATACATACTGAAAATCTTTCATCTTGGTTAAAACAGCAGGCAAGTGACATTAGTTGTTGTAGTTTTTGTTGTTAATTCAAAGTCAAGCTAGTTAGTGTCTGATTTTTTTTTCTATTTTAACTCTCATAGATACCACTAGATTCAGACAGACATGGAGAAGTTCTGAAATGGTTGGCGTATGGTCCACGCTGCATTGCACGGTCATATACAGGTTACATAGTGAACGGTCAAC